GGTACTGAGCAGTAAGACTATAAATACCTAGCAGTCATCAAAAATGTGTTGAAGATGAGGGGAGGAAGATCGGAGAATGAAATACTAAAATTAGAAATCTACCCTAAGGTGCTGTATAAATGAAGCCATTAGGAGTGGGTTGGGTGATTGTCTGTCTACCTGTTTCTAGAGTTTGATGTGGTAGCAGTCTGCAGAGTGAGTGAGCATCTCCAGTGCAAGAAGAAAGAAACCATGGGAGAGCTTTGTCCTTAGTAGACTGACTTCTGGTTACAGAAGCTGGTGGCAGGCTTCTCTAAACTGACATGTTGGAAGTACTTAGTATTTAGTCTGTTCCTACAAAAGGCCTTGTGCAGCATTGCCCTGTATGAAATGTCAAACCTAGGGCTGCTGCTTTCTTTCCAATTCTGCCTCTGGTCCAGGTGTCTTGATACAGGCGCTGAAGCTGGCGGTTTGCTGCTGGCAAACAGGACCTTTGGCTTGTATTCAGTCCCTTCATCAGGAAGGATTAGTGTGCATTACATCCAGGAGGAAATTAACCCCAAAAGCCTTTCCAAAGTGAAATGCTGGAGGGCCTCTCTCTTCATGCCGGTGAATAGCTGTTATGACTCTGAATCTAATCGTCAGCTGCAGCATAGCTTCTGGTGGAAGTTTGGCTCTGCTTTCTCTGCTGACTGGCCATCATCCTTGCTTCCTTTGTATGCTGCTGCTTTTAGCTGAGGTGGTGGTACTTCTGATTCAGGGAGAACAAGGCCTGTTCTGGGATGTTTGTTTACATGCTCAGCTTGTGTGGAGATTGAGAGTACACGCTGAGTGCTTTTAGTCTTACTGACTGAACCATTAAATTTGATCAGTGAGCGATATAAAAATTACTGAGCAAATAAGCAACAGTGTTCCTGCTCAACACAATTGATTGCGCAGCACTGTAACCCACAGACCCTTGGGAATGGAATCCCTTGGTTTCTCTGCAGGCATATGTAATGGCTGTGTTTTAGTTTGGATACAACTCACCTTTCCTCATCTGTTCTCAGCGTGGAAATAGGCGAGAGTGTACGTGGGGAGGATGTCTACATTGTGCAGAGTGGCTGTGGTGAAATCAATGACAATCTGATGGAGCTCCTCATCATGATAAATGCCTGTAAGATTGCCTCAGCCAGCAGAGTCACAGCTGTCATACCCTGCTTCCCTTATGCTCGGCAGGACAAAAAGGACAAGGTAAGGGATGTGGTAAAGGTTTCTGCTGGGAAGGTGAATGCACATCTTGAAAGTCCTGACTACTGGATAGTGATTAGATGAAGTTGAATATGTAGAGGAAGAGATAAAAGTTACTTTGATTTCTTTAAACCTCAGGGCATTGGACTGCAAATTTGTCTTTTCATAAAGATCTAGTTCTTGAAAATAGAGCAAGCTGTAATCACCAGTTGATGAGAAGATGCAATGTTAATGAGTACTCCTTTTAGTAACCACTTGTGAATCATTGCCTAGAAGTGGAAGACTGACATCTTGATGAAAGAGTTGAACTTGTCTTAAATACTGGTTTTTTCCTCTACTAGAGTCGAGCTCCAATCTCTGCCAAGCTGGTTGCAAACATGCTGTCTGTAGCAGGTGCAGATCATATAATCACCATGGACCTGCATGCATCTCAGATTCAGGTAGGAGCTAAAATCAGGGAAGTGCTTACCTGCTCCAATCTGAGCTTCTTTACTGCCTTGCAGGCTTTCCAGTGATCTGTCTTTTTTTTTTTTAAACACAGCAGTGATCAGGACTTGGGAACACGGGACTGGAAGGGACTTGTAGAATCAGTCAGAAGAGGATGGGGAAATGGGTAACAGGTTCATCTGTAAATGAAATTATAGTTCTTGCTCAGACTAAGTGTGTTGAGCCCTGTGTATATGAATGTTGGGCAGTAAATGGTCTGTGCAACTTTATTCACGGTGACACTGTGTGTTCTTAACTGCTGCTTTGAGGATTTTGAGATGGTGAATGGCTTTATGAAGAGTATTCTTAGATATTTATGGTATTTACTGAATTGTCAGGGAAGAGTGAGCAGTGTTCTGTTTGACACAGTGGCTGGTAATACCTCTGTCCTGAGGTTAGCTCTGCCTCCAGGTGTGCTGGCAGAGCTAATTTTGAGGGTTCAGTTGACCATGACCAGTGATCTGATAGCTTGCTGCTGAGAAGATGGGCAGTCCCACTTGTATCCATGCAGTGCCACCCTTCCACATAAGTTGGCTTTGGTTCTCTCACAAGCTGCTGCTGAATTGAAAATCGCTTATGGGTTTTGCTGGCATAGTGAACAGAGTAGTCTCACAGAGCAATTGAAATCTCGACCAGAGCTGTGTAAGAGAAGTGGCAAGAGGGTATGCCAGGGAAGGAGGGACAGCAAGCTGTTAAATTATCGATCTTGTTTCTTTCCACCTTGAGCAAGTGCTCCAAGACCAAGAAACCAACTTAGTGCAGCTGAGAGGGGTGTCGCAGAAGGGAGGACAGCTATTGTATTCTGCAAATGCTTTGAATCCAGAAGGATAAGATATCTACTGCCTGGTGAAGTAGGTGGGCTGGCTGTCATTTTAACAGTGGAAAATCCAGCCATTCACACTTCAGTTTCATTTCTTCCAGTATAATTTGCCCAGAAATACTTTGTCTCAGATGGCAAAAATCTATGGGGGTCTCTGCTGAGAAGACTTCCAGAAAGATCATGAAATAAAAGAACAGAGCCCAAGGAGGTATGCCTCTTCCTTAAGAGGCTTGGAGTTATGATGTGTACCATAGGGTTGAACTGTCACCAGCAGCAATGGTGAGATACAATTGAATAATTTGGTTTCTGTATATAGGTTTCCAGCATCTGGCTGGTTTAAGCCTGGTTCTTGTAGTTCTCGGGTTGCTGAGCGCAGAAGGAATGATGGTAGGAAGGATCTGTTACCCCTGTACCCTGAAGCATTCCTCTAGGGTAGCTGCCCCCACTCTCCTGCATATTATTCCCTGTCTAGGATTAACTTCTGGCTTTTAGTGACCTTTGAGGTTTACCTGGAGGAGTCTGCTGGGTCAGTGTAAAGTTGTGGAACCAGCTGCATTAGTTTAAAAACAAATGTTACTCAAGCCTTTTTCATAGGTTTCCTGTAGATGCAAACAGCGTAGGTAATGAGCTTTAGAGATTGACTTTGTAAACAGGCAGCTAGCTGCTCTGAAAATGAGCATGTTTGATGCTGGTTTTCTGCACACCCTTAGGATAGAACTAGTTCCTTGTTGTGAAGGTGTTAGATGTGCAGTTTTATTTATGCTGCAAAACTTTCTGGCTATGAAGACTATTCTGTGTATCCCAAAGGCTACTGCCCTTGCATTAAGGGAAGTAGAAAGGAAAGCTGAAAGCTATGGAAAGGGTGGTGGCTGCTTGCCTGATCATATAGAAGGCTTCTTCCAACTGTTTTTGGAATGTGACCTTCAGCTACATCTGTTCCTGTCATCTTCTTTGCAGGGTTTTTTTGATATCCCTGTTGATAACTTATATGCTGAACCTGCTGTACTGAAATGGATCAAAGAGAATATTGCGGAGTGGAAGAACTGCACCATTGTTTCACCAGATGCTGGTGGAGCCAAGAGGTAAGCTGTCAGACAGCTAGCTCGAGGTGCTGCTTCTAGATCTACTTGAATTCCTGAGAGAGCTAGTGACTTTATTCTTAGGACACATTCCCTCTGCTAGCCTGCCTTCTGTAAGACAGTCTGTGGCAGCTAGTGAAGAGTGGTCAGATATTCTTCCTAGGGAGTGTTCAGAAGGTTTCTTGGGCTACCTGGAGAATTAAATAGCTTCCAGAATCCCAGCTCCATAGGTAAGAGTTGTGCAATTACTACATGCCTGTGACTAGAACAATTTTTTGTAGAAGGGTAATTATGCGGGTTGAAGGAGGGAATCGTGTAGCTCGTACCCCTCTGCAAAGTTACCGCTGTTGGTTAGAGACACGTTTTTATCCAGGTGGTTTTCTTTGCAGTATTAAGATCACTCTGAGGTATTTTCTTATTTTATTACTCGATTTGAATATCTAGCTGGGACTTAAGCCTGCTGCTACTTTTACCCTTCCCCGAGAGCAAGGAAGATAGATGGTTCCTTTCCAAAAGGCAGCAGTATGTTATAGCACATTTCCACTTCGATAGCATGACAATCTCCAGTCTTTCTGCAGATACATGTGCCAGTTGGTGGGCAGTTCAGAATGTTCCCAGGTGCTTATTAGGAGAAACTAGGCTGTTGCTTGATGCCTCTGTGTAAGGGCTACCTGTGAATCGCAAAGGAACGCAGAGGTATTCATTAATCCAGGGCTGTCGTGCCAAAATGTTGGTGTGTGTTGACCTGATTCACACACTTTAGCGTGTTCAAGCTATCTGTTACAAACAGCCAAGAGATACTGCCACTGCAGGTCACTGTATGTCTTCCTGTAGCTTCGTTATGGCCCATGTATTGGACAAGACCTTTTGTATATCCAGCTACTTCTGTAGCTTGTAGCATAAAGCAGTATATGAAATGCCGAGTCAGCCAGCTGTAATCTGAATCCTGAAAAAACATCTTCAAAAGCCACTTAAACTTAAATGTGTTGATCTTGGCTGCTGCAATATTTTATGGAGATACTGTAGAACTAAATACTTTAGTAAACAGTTTAGTTTAACAATCTTGTGTAGGAATCCCAGGGTGATGAGTCTGATCTACAGAGGCTAGGAATCTACTCATCTCAAGTGTAGAACTTCTTAGGGGCATGTGTATTTTGTTCCTTCTCACTCTTAATGCTTTTAAACTCTTTACTATTCATCAGTATCAATATGTAAAGTTTAGGTCCGTATAGCGAGGCTGTGCTGTGGTCACTTTAACCAGAGTAAATGTGAGGTGGTGGACTTGCATTTCTTCAGTGTGTACTCTTGCCCCTGTCCTTGTGCCAGCACTTGGGTGCATGACAACTGAATGCTTATACGAGTGCAAGCAGCTCCTGTCGTAGCACAACTTAAGCCTTTCCAGTGTAGTGTTACAAAGATGACAGCTTCCCAAGCATTCTGATCACTTCAGGTTTGCCAGACTTGCTCATTAAGGTTTGTTTTGAGCTTTAAATGCAAATTAATTTACAGTAGTTGGGATGAAAGATAGTTTTATCTAAATCTAGTTGCTGTCATCGGGAGAGATTAGATCAGAGATTGTACTTTAACTGCTTGAAGGGAAACTAAGGTGGCAGAGTGTCTTCTATTAATTGCTTGGGAGCAGTAACAGATGCAGTGACAGGTTCGCTTACTGCAGTGGCAGTTTGTGCTTAATAGTTTTAAAAGATTTGATTGAATCTGTGTGGAGTTAAGTGTTGTTTGGAAACTGTTCTCTCTTCAGAGTGACCTCCATTGCAGATCGATTGAATGTAGACTTTGCCCTCATTCACAAGGAGCGCAAGAAGGCTAATGAGGTGGATCGCATGGTGCTGGTGGGTGATGTGAAGGACAGAGTGGCCATTCTGGTAGACGATATGGCAGACACATGTGGTACCATCTGTCATGCTGCAGACAAGTGAGTAAGGCTGATTCTTTCCTAAATCAGAAACCTATTGTTAGTGAACTATGCGAGGAGTTAATCAAATTACTGGCATATCATGTTTCACAAAGTAGCATGCAGTTTCTTGATTATCTTATCTCATGTTGTACAAAATAAGCAAAAAGCCTAGTTAAAGTTCTCGCACTGGGAGTAGCTAGAAGACCTCAGTAACTTTTTTTATTTGAAAGTGTCTTCCACTAAACCATCAGTGACTATGCTGGGTAGAACTAAGTGCTGCCTGGTCCATCAGCTTAAGGTCATGCATCTGAATTTCTAATAGAAGTAAGCTTTTCAAGCTTTGATGTCTTTCAAGCCTTCTACACTAGAAACACCAGCATATGCAACACTCAGTATTAAATATCTGCTACTTTGTGTTGATAAAAATCACAGAAGGTGATTTGTATGATCTAGTCCGAATGTCCCAGGGTTAAGAACAGGTGGGGTTTTTTTCAATGTGTACTTTGCCTGTGGTGGATTTTGTGGTACTTGTTAAACTGTTTTCTTCCCCCAAATCAATAGTGGGCTGGAGCAGGGAATCAAAGGTAGCCTGTCCCCTAAGCGTATGGTATTGTCTACTTTCATGCTTACCATGTGCCTTGTGCTAATGTCAGTTTAATACTTGCTAAAAATTTGATCCTTCTTTTTCCCTGCCCCACCACCACCACCACCACCACCTCCCATAGGCTTGTGTCAGCTGGAGCCACCAAAGTTTATGCCATCTTAACTCATGGGATCTTTTCTGGGCCAGCAATTTCTCGGATCAACAATGCCTGTTTTGAGGCAGTTGTAGTCACAAACACAATACCCCAAGAGGACAAGATGAAGCAGTGCCCTAAAATCCAGGTGAGCATCTACTTTCTTTTCTGTCACTTCTGGGGCGTGATAGCACTTGTCTGTCCTCCTTGTTGATGGGAAAACCCAGTAATACTGTCTAGTGCTTACAGCAGTTTCATTGGTACTGGAATCAGTGGCAGTATTGACTAGTTCTCTTGTTCCTATTGCTGCAGGAAACAGACCTACTACACTAATAAAATGAGCTTCTAATCTAGCTAATCTTCAACGGTTCATTTAAGTAAATTTTTTTCAGGGCTTGTTTTACCTAGATCAGACAAGAGCATGATCAGATCTCATGGGGCCATGATGTAAGCAAGCAGTTATATCTGTACACTTTGAAGGAGTGCTATGCAGATGACATATAATACTGAAGCAGAAGCAGACAGAGGCTTCAGAAGTTGGTAACGCCAGCTTCAGTTGAGTAACTATCACCTAATGCCCAGCCCTTTAAGCAAAATGTCTCTTCCTTTTGCGAAGTAAAGTAAGCCTGGCCTGGGGAAGTCGCGTGCTTCGTCTGGTCATAGCAGCAGTGCAGGTGAGCTGCAGAGGGAGCGCAGACTTGTCCCACGGACATGTCTTGCTGGTTTGACTAAAAGCAGCTGACACAGCTCCACAGTACAGTGTTCAGGTACTTGCCAAAGATAAACAAAACCACTTTGCTATCCATGTGAAAACTAAAAGCTCGTCTCTTGATGCTGAATCTGTCTTTCCATTTAGGGAAAGTACTGTGGCATTTTGTTTCCCAAGGGGAGGCTGACTTTCCTGGAAGAAAAAAAATGGGCTGTACAACTTGAGCTAGGCAGAACTTGAGGATTTCCTGTGTTAATGGACAGCTGGAAGTTGCAGCGTTACCTGAGCATTCAGGCATTATAGGTCCATCAGAAGCTTCAGGTACTGCTGCAGCATACACCCAGCCAAAGACATCCTAAATGCTAGCTTCACAGCACAGGTGTATAGGACACAGGCATTTGGACAAGTTCTGGAAAGTGAATGGCACTGCTAGGACTCAGCTAGTGCTGTCTTGTAAGCATAGCAGGTTCCCCAGTACTGGGATTCTGGTGAAAAGGAAACTGAACTGGTTGAAGCAGCAGTGAATTTTAAGCAGCTTAAAGGTAGATATCTTTGCTGATTGAAAAGATGTCTGATGCTTCAACTTCTTTCCAAGCTCCACACTACAGTAAATGTAGGCAAAATATTAAACTAGTATCAGTATGTAGATAGCTGTAGCCAAAGATTGCAGTGGAGTAGTTCTTCAGACTCTCACTTAACACCTCTTTTATACTAACATCTGATGTTCAGTTTTGAGAAATACAGAACTAAAGGATATGTCATCAGTCTCATGCTCTGCTCTGCAGCTCTTTTTATCTTTCCTTCCTTAGGAGGCAAACTATCCAGTAGAAAATGTTAAATATGGATTTCACTTAGTTTCCTTAACGCACCATGAACATGCTGGTTCTTACTGAGGCTGCATATATCAAAATGCTTTAGCTGCTGCAATTCAGAGTTAGAATTAGAGAGACTTGATTTTTTTTTTCCCCTCCTGTTAACTGGATTACCCCGCCAGGTGGAGCCAGCACAGTGACTGGGAGCTGAGCTGCAGCACAGTAGCTTTGTCTTAGACTGCTGGCAGTGATGGTAAAGCCTCATGACTCAAGGGAAGCGATCTGATCTTGCTTTAGACTCCCCTAACTTCTCTGCAACCTACACAAAGTGAGTAAGATAGTTCTAGGGTAAACAGACTGAGCTTAGGGAGTCTCAGCGAAGAAAGGTGACAGTAGACTGCCACCCTGACAAAGATCAACAGCGAAATAATTCTTGTAGTGTTATATGTAGAATATCTTCAGAATTACATGTAACTAAATCACAGTCCTGTGTGGAAGTCATTTGTCTGCATCTGGCACGCTATAAATTTGGATGATGAGTTTAAGTTCTTCCTAACTTACCAGCTGTTCTTCCAGGCTTGCTGTCTTTTCTCAGTGATGCTGATGCATCTTTCTTCCCCTCCAGGTGATTGACATCTCAATGATCCTTGCAGAGGCCATCAGGAGGACTCATAATGGGGAATCTGTCTCCTACCTATTCAGCCATGTCCCTTTATAACAACAGATGTCAGCTGCTGCTTGTATGGCTTTTTTTTAAAACCAAAAGTTGTTCAGCTTGTTGTAAAGTTCAGTAGAAGACTCTGCTTGTTCCAGTGCAGTTCTCCACAGCTCCTCCTGCTTAAGTCAGGCTTACTGGCTCTGATCCCAACACTGGGAGGCTGGGGGTGAAGCTAATCTCTGTAACACTCCAACTCCACCAGCAGCCCCGTGTGTTGGGGCTCATCAGTAGCATTGACTCAATTCTGCAGATCTGTGGAGAGCGGGACTGACACATGACGAATTGCCACAATTATTTGGGAGGGGGGGAGGGGGGTTTGTCTGTGGGCAGGGTTAGATGATCTGGCATGCGCACCCTAAATTGTTTGGGAAGTAGAGCTCCCTAGGCCATGTTGATCTGGATCTACAGCAAGAGCCTGAGAGACTGCTGGCTGTCTTACCACTCTATACCTGACAGGAGCCCTTGAAGAGCCGTGGGGAAGGCTTGTATCTTGGCCAAGCTTGACCCTAGGTGAAGCCCTGGGAAGACACCTGGGAGGTGGTTCTGCTACAGCTTCCTCCCGTGAAAGGAGATCAGAGTAGCTTGCAAACTTGAATTCATCTTAACCGTTGATGAAATTAAATGCCCTTTAGCATGCTACACAGCAAAGTGAAGGTGAGAGCATAGTCTGTGCAGTCCTGCCTTGCTGTGTTACCTTAGTGGTGAGGGTGCATCCTGGACAAGCATTCTTGTGTAGAGGGCTCATGGTGGTTGTGTGCTTTAGTTTCTAGCATAGGCTAAAGCCAGTTCCTAAATTTCACAGCTTACTGTTAGCCTTCCTAGCAATTAGAGGACTGCTATCATGTACTATAGCTACATCTTGACTAGCTGTGCAAATCCTTGATCCTTTTTTTACCAGTACACTAGTAAACTGAGCCTCTTTATCCCATAGTAGCTTGGTTGTTGCATCTAGCAAGTGCCTGCTTAGACACTGGGGTGACCTAATACGCAACAGCTTTGTGTCCAGCTGTCTTAGCTTCTCATTGCCTGCAATCCTGTTGTCCTGCAAGTTACTGACATATTCTGGTTGCCTATCCTGGTCACTGTCTGCCTTGCCTTGAAAGTGTTGCTCCTGGCAAAAGTTCTTAAACCAAGGAGCATAGGAGGTTGCAGGACTACAGAACCTGAAGAAGCCTTTGAAGTGGATCTGATGCTGCTAATGAGTGCTTACAGCCATGGGTTGAAGAGGCTGGTGATACATAGTACTGGGAAAACTGTAGATCTAACGCCAACCTGACAGGCAGCAAAGTGCCTGAAAGAAAAATACCAAAACTGGAGCTGACTGAGGCTCCCGGATGTAATAAGTATCATCTGAAACTTGAGTACTTGGTACCAGAGAACTGTAAGGTAAACTGCTAAGTCTGTCCTGGACTCTTACGGGGTTATAGACCAAGCTGTTTCATGCTCTGGTTTTTATAAGCACTCCTCTTTTATTTGTTTTTGAGCTGGAGGAAGGGAAAAAGGGAAAAGAAGGAACTTGAAATTACTTGCTAGAGTAACCAGCATGGTGTTGAGAGGCTAGGGGCTGGGGTATAAGTGGAACTAACTGAAACACTTGGTTAATATCTGGGGAAGTACTTCTTTAGTTGTGCCTTTGACTGAAGACTTCTCTCCGTTCCTAGAACTCCTGTCCTGTGGCAACGTTAACAATTGTGTTACAGTGCAAGGTTTTTCTTTTTGTTTAAGAGTTGGTGTTTGTCTGGAAAGTGTGTGTCTCCTGCTTCCTTGCTTTGCATCCTGCACTGAGCTCTACCGAGATTGATTCCTGCCTCCTGTATTGGAGCCCCTGCTGCCACACTGCCCATGCCCTGAGAGCCAAGAGCCAGAACATTGGAGCAGTGGTGTGAGGATTTTCAGCAGCATTTCTCTTTAAACTTAAGACCTGATGAAGGAATTAAACTTTTATTTAAAAAACATGGCCTCTGTCTATAAATGCTTCTAAAAACATTACGAAGGTGATGTACGTCATCTGAGTTGGGTCACCTGCAAGGTAGATCATGGAGTGATGTTATTTGGAAGGGACCTTGGAAGGTCATCTGGTGTAACCCTCTTGCAGCAGTGCTGACTGTGAGGTTCAGCTTGGCTGTACTCACGCTGCATGGAAGAAGCTTGGGATGAAGCTACTTCTCTTAGTGGGTAGTGGCTTTTGTTTGTATCTGATTTGTTAGACTTGTTAGAGGTGGTAGTGCAATTTCTCTTGTACTGTTCAGTTATGTATGTGAGCAAATCTGTTCAGGTATGGAAAAAGCAGAGTAGTTTAGCAAGTACAAATGAAGAATTGCCAAGTATCTTGCACAAAGCTAATGATCAGAGGCAGCAGGATTATGTCCTGAGAAGCACTTGTAGACTGGGAAAGTATCAATGAAGTCAGAAGGATGAGATGGCAGGTCTAGAGGAAGATCTTTGGCCTTACAACAGACTTCAGGCCTAGATTGAACATTGCTTCAAGAAATGCCACCATGGCCTCAGGCAGACTTTTGGCTGAGGATCACTGCTGTCATTCATCTGTTAAAGTATTTCAGTACTGGTTGATGAATAAGTGAACTGTATATATTTTTCCTCAGATAGCAGGGCGGGTGATGTAGCAGACTGCACCTTCCTCAGAGAAGAAACAGAATGTGAGTTTTACAGCCAAAAATCTCTACAAAGGTGACCATTGCTATTGGTGTGTATATACTGTTTCTTAGTTACTTAAAACCTGGGGGTTAGAGTGGAGGAGGGCTGTGTGACAGCACTGTAGCTCTTAAAAGGATGGGTGATACTCAGGGTATGAGAACTGTCACAAGGAGATAAAGCTCTTGTGCTCTGGAAATGTTCAGATCAGAAGGGCTGGACACTTCTAGCAAACTTCTTTCTCTACATTAAAAAAACCCCACTCAACTTTCTAATACTGAACCTATTTGTAGGCAGGTGTTCACTGACTGACTAAAAGTGATGCGCACAATTACAGCAACTATGGCTGCCTGTAACACGTGCAGGTAGTAGAACTGAAGCACTCTTCTCCCTGTCCAGCACAGTCATGGATGTAGTACCAGGCAGAAGTGGGGAGGGTGTCCCTTCACTGCAGTGTAGACTGGGAGGAAAGAAGCCCCTGAGGTGTGAATGGCAGCCAAGTTCCTCCAAAATCCTCCCAAGTTTGGGAGTGGTGCAGGGATGATAATCCCTTAGACCAGACAAGTTCAGCTGCAGCAGCATCACCCATGCTGTGAAGTACTTGTGCTGTCTTGAGCTACCTGCTGAAGTGGAGGTGATCCTCCAGCCTGTCCCCAGAGCTGCTGGAGTGAGTACGGAGCATGCAGGGTGCTCTGGAGGTGACATGTGGTGTCTTCTCAGGCTGTCTTCACAGCTGCTGAAGAAATATCATAGAAACCAATTCATTACTTCCCTGTGAGAAAATCCCAAGTGAGTAATTTGCTGTGCTTTGGGA